CATTTTAATGCTAATTCCAAACCAGTACTAAATAAGTATAATAAAGTATTAAAAATTGTATTGCAAGTAATAATATATTTTAATATAAAAGAAATATAATTTATATATTATTATAATTAAAAGTGGTTTATGTTATGTTTATTTTTTTCTAAATAAAAAGTAATAGTAAAGGAAAAAGGGTTAATTGACTAAGAATAATTTAAAATAAACTCACTTTACTTCTGATTTCATTAACGTTTGAGGAAATTCATCATTAAATGGATCTTCACTGAATGATTTCATATAATTTTCAATGAATATTTTTGTGGGTAAATTGAAAACATTATGTTTTTTGTATTCTTCCAAGTTCTTCTTGCCCAAATGAACATTAAAATATTTATAATACTTATACATTATAATAATTAAATAATATATTATTGGGATTATACAAAAAATATAATATTTAATTAGATAGATTAAAGGTTTTAGGATGGTTAGAAAAAAGAAGTATAGGTAAATCAATAAGTACTACATAAGAAATTAAATAAATATAATATCTAAAAAGATAGTTAGGAAAGTTTTTTTTTTTGACATCACTAAAACAATTTAAAATAATAATTTTTTAATTTTTGCTATAGTGATATTGATTGAAAATGTTTTCTTCTTAGAAATTAAATTTCTTAACTTTTTCAATTTTCTCTAAGCAAATTCATATTTTTATATAATCACACAATTCACAACTAAACACCTTTCACATTTTATATCATAAAATGTTATTTAATTAATTGAAACATTAAAAGTCGTCATATTGATATATTTTATATAATATGATGATTTGATAAATGGTTGATGAGAGCCCTTAAGCTCCATTCAGATCCACCATTGAACATTGAAAATAATGGCCAGTGTTTCATTTCCAAATGAACTTGAGATATTTAAACAAACAATTTATATTTTATGAAAATTTGAGCTCTTCAGAGTCATCTTTTATATCATAATAGAATCATATATTATAATAAGTGATATTAATTTATTTATTTTTAATGGTAGCTATATCTTAAAAACATAGTTTTAAGCCATTTATATAACAATGCCTAAAATTGTAAAACATATTTATCGATCATATGCTTACCCAAATTTTTTATTACACTATCTGCAAACATTATATCAGATTGATTTTTAAACTCGTCCAACATTACAACAGCTGTTATATCTTCTAGAGCTAGCTTAAAATTTCCCAACTCTGAAAGTGCTCTAGCTCTTCGGGATAATGCTTTTTTGTATGATGGTACTAATTCTAAAGCCTTGTCACAGTCGGCCACACAATTTTCATTATTGTTCTAAAAATAATTTAAAAAACTAATTTGAAATAATTGTTTACCTAATTAGTCAATCAGTAATTATTCAATACCAATTTACAGTAGGCAGCAGCTCGGTTTTGATATATAGTGGACAACAGTCCTTTCTCAGACAGTGGACACATTGACAAGGCTTGTGTGTAAAAGGTAATGGCTGCATCATAATTTTGTTTAGAAAACTCTGCGTTTCCCTGTTTTTTAAATTCTTCAACTTGTTCAGTAAGAGTCTGCAAGGATAGAATTGATCAAAAGTTAAATATGTGTCAATAATAATAACAAACACAATAGGTTATATGATATTTATTTTTTTTATATGTTTAAAGTGTAGATAATAAGGAGAATAGACCAACCGGTTTGTGAACTTTCACTGTGGTGTTGCTATCAATTCCGTTTGTCTCGATCGGCTTTCGGATAGCATTGTTTTCGTCAATACCATGATGTTTGGATGTCGGCTCGTGAGGTAGCTGGCTCTTATTGTTCGACTTTGAGTAAAAATAATAAGTCGCGCCCAAGCCCACCGCAAAACACGGTACGCAGACGGCCAAACTGAATTTCCAGTTGGACAGGAAACTGAACGACGATTGGGTGGAATCAGACATGGCTTTATCGCGAAACGATTTCCAATGAATAGGTACCGTTCAAATAATTTTAAATGATTTTACCACACCGAACACATGTTTGAAGATTTTAAAATTTATCGACCAGTCACAGCAGAGTATACGATTATTGAAATGTTGGATAACTAACGAAGATATGTAAATAATATTATTTATTTTAAACAAAACAATGGTACAATCAATAAGTTAAAAACACGAATGAATAAAATAAAACCCTAGCAATTACTGGCGTACTGACGCTCATGAAAATTGTAATTTATTGCTCTTAGCGAAAGTAATAAATTATTACACAGCCAAAGACAAAAATGTGTTAGCCGAGTGGCGACGGCACCACTAATCAGTATAGTGAACCATACCAGTGCGCTCTTATCAGCGGCGTGGAGCAATAATGTAATGTCGAAATGTTGATAATGGAAACTTCACGTTCTACGACATTGTCGATTCTCATTGGACGAGTATTTACTATTTAGCAAGGATTGTGGTACCGTTCAAACTTGGCGCCAAACATCTGTAATTTAAATAGAAAGAAAACTTTTTAAAACCTACATAGAGAAGAAACGCACTTAGCGTAGGGTTCTCGACGGAAGCGGTGGTGAAATTTCATTTCAAGGGGAACGATTTAATTAGTTAGTAAATTAATTAGCAAAACAAAACAAAAAAAAAAAAAAAAAAAATAGAAAAAGGGTGTATATAATATACAAATATAGACAAATTAATGTAAAAAGCATAGGTATATTGTTGAAGAGTGATGGTTTGTTATATAAGGTTATTGAGATGTGTCACTGATAAGAACTGGTTAAGTTTGGTGGTATTGGATGGATCTGTGCTTTATTAAATATTATTTTTTTAATTTTATAGCTCGATGTTCATATAAACTATAAAACAATTCTGTGTACACTTTTACGTGTAATTATGTGTAGCCTGTAATCTGTTTAGGCATCTATTAAATCGATCTACAAACATGATTATAGATTTTGGTAGAATTAGAATAACTTTTATTCCCGCTTGGCACTCACCGGCCAATATTGGCGAACCCATCATGTTCAGTTTTTTTTTTTTTTTTAATAAAGAAATTTATTTCTGTATATTTTATTGTTTTAGTTATCAATGTATAGATTAAATTATTACTTATTATTACACTCAATTATAAAATCAATAGAATTCTCTAATCAAGCCCGGATAAAGAAGGTCCTATATGATATGAGAAGGGTGATTTATTTTTACGATTTTTTTTAATGCACACATTCAAAGGAAATTTTAAAAATAAACTATCAACATTTCATGTTACGAAAAATATCCAAACAATAAATTCATAATAAATTTATATACTAAAATGATAAAACTATATAGGTAGTATAACTTGTTGTGAATAATGTAATTGATGTATTGTAGTACCTACTTACATGTTGCATTGTCACATGTCAGTTGTCACGTATTACTGTACTAGTTTGGTATATTTTAATATTAATAATTGAATTATTTTTCATTAAATAATTGATACTTTTAACAATTGTACGTATCTATATTTCAACAAATAACTAATAAGTACTTGGTTAAAATTGTGAACTATAGACCATAGTAGTCATCACTTAGTTTTAATTCTAATAATGATTTATATGTATAAAAAAATTCGCAACAGGCATCATAATATAATATCTATAAATTATGCTTAATACAACTATCTACATGACTACGTTATGGTACGAATACATTATACAACATCACGTATATTATTAAACGTGATAAAGTGGAATTATCGCACTTAATTATATTTAATAAGTACCTAATTATTATTAATAATATATACAATTATAAATACATATTTGGTATTTTTGACCTACAACTATTCGGGTCTCGGGAGGTAGCAATGCTTATTTTACATAACAGTCTAACGCTTTAAATAGAAAAAATTATTGCAGTAGTAGTGGTGACTATTATCTCTATTTAAATAATTTAAAATAATTTATAATCTAAATTATGGTATTACGTTTACATCACTATTTTGCTGATCTAATAAATTATTTTATTTTTACTTTAAATGGTAAAAAATTACAAAATTATGTAATCAACCACATACAAATACAGTAAAACCTGTATAATATGGAAACCGTTGGGACCGGATATTTTTTCCATTTTAGACAGGTTTCCATTTAATACAGGTTGTAAAAAAAAAATTTTCCCGATAGATCTTTATCAAATGTAATTTATTATTTATTATTAATTAATTAATTTCATATATATATATACGTCAGAACACTACTACGACACTTATCGATAAAATAAACTTATTGCAACGAAATAATAATCTATATAATTGTTATAGATTATATTCATTGACTGATAATTTTAAAATAGTACATGTACATATTTCCATTATATACAGGTTCACGACAAAATATTGTTTCCATATCCACGTTATTCAGGTTCCATTTTATTCAGGGAACGATGTATTTAAAACTACATTAGGTTCGCCGGGACCGTAACATTTTTCCATAAAAGTCAGGTTTCCACGTTATTCAGGTTCCATATTACACAGGTTTGACTGTAGTAGGTAATTACAATTTTACATTTCAACTGCAGAAGAGTTGAGTTTGAGAATTCAAAGAAGTCCACTCGGTGTCTTGTGTTCCAGAGTCCAAATGCTTCTACGAGTATGTGGATTTTTAATCTGGGCTTATATCCCCTACGGTTCTATAGTTGTAAAATCTTAATAAAACATGTCACAGTCTTGTACAACGAATTAAGATATAAATTACTAGGTATTATGTATATTATAAAATTAACTACTCGAACGAAAGTGTGTTTAATGAGGAATGCGATCCGATATAGTCGATGGTACCATTTGGATATAGATACTACCTACTAATCCAATCGTAATAGGTACACTAACACTACGAACATGTATAAAGTAAATAATAAATATACATTCATAATATATTGTACGCATTGTAATACATTTAATATACATATTTTTTTTTTTTAATAAAATGCATGGAAATTAAAGTACATATATGTATATACATGATGATTTACCAAGCAAATTCATTTTTTTCTTCAAAAAATCATCCACTAAAGAATTTACAGTAAAAAAGATGAGTTCTCATTTGAAAAAACAAAGGTTTGTGTAGGACACTCCTTAAGAAGTACAGTTTTAAGAATTTAAAAATATGATCTATAAACTTTAAGTATATCTAAGCATTCTATAAATAAGAATTTGAATAAATTCATTAAACTAAATGAAAATGGAGACGAACGTGCTTGGCGAATCACCTTATTTAACTCGTTTATTTTTGTCTACACTCCGTTCTCTTTGAACACGTTTGCGGCGATTACTATCCTTTGGATCTCTGACGTGCCCTCGTATATCTCCGTTATCCTAGCGTCGCGGTAATACCTCTCAGCTGGCATATCCGTCACGTAACCCATGCCGCCTAACACCTGTATACACTGGTGCGCATTGAACGTAGCCGCCTCAGCAGCTGCCAATTTAGCCATAGCAGCTTCCTGTAAAGCGGAATTTACTTTATTTTTTACTACTATTCATAACTTAACTATTTAAATATTAACTAAAGTAATATTACTTTTGAGTGCGAAGTGTTCGAGTCTTTCAGATAAGCCGCGCGCCACGTCAAAAGCCTAGCACTCTCCACTCTCAATGCCATTTCGGAGATTTTGTTCTAATGAAAAAAATATATACCTATGATACTGTCTTTTTGTGTGAAGACCACAAGTCACAAAGTCATGTATATATGTTACGTACATACCTGTATTGATTGCAATTTGGAAATTGGCGCTCCGAACGCGGTTCTTTTGGACGCGTAATCAACAGCTAGTTCCAAGGATGCTTGGGCAATACCACAAGCTTGGGCGGCAATTCCTATACGGCCTGCGTCTGCAAAAACCGATGAAAATTACTAAAAATATAGTTACATCGAAAATAATAATAACATAATATATCTAAAAAAATAATTAATTATTTTTATTGGACATTTAGACATTTATAATACTGTTTTATAAATATTTCCATCAGACTAACCTAAAGTTATCATCGCGTAATTGAAACCTTTTCCCAGCTCGCCTAAGACATTTTCTTCGGGTACGGGGCAGTCTTCGAACACTAAACTGCACGTTGACGATCCTCGTATGCCCAATTTGTTTTCCTTTTTCCCCACAAATAATCCTGCAATTATGTATGAAGATAAAAAGCATTGATATTAATTATTATACAGAAAATAGACAAACAATAATATTTACAAATTATAACTCATACTAAAGTGTATAGATAAATCAATAGCTAATCAATAATAATCTAATGCATGTAGCCGTAATGGCCATTATTTTTTGGCTTTTGCGTATACATTTCAGAAATTATACATTATCATATTATAATTATTTATAACATAATGTATTTGAATGTTATTAAATAATATTTAAATAAATTAAAAATATACTACATTCCTCAACACGTAGCTACATAATATTATTACGTTATATTATAATTAATTTAAAGCATTAAATTACCTGGAAAATCTTTTTTCAACAAAAAGCTACTGATCCCTTTATGTTTTTTTGATTTATCAGTGGATGCGAATAAGACTAATCCTTTGGATTCGAAACCATTTGTAGTCCACGATTTCGTTCCATTGATTATATAGTTGGAATCTTTTTTCGTAGCTGTAGTCGCTACAGCACCAGCGTCACTTCCCAATCCTTTAATTGTTAAATAAAATGTTTTTTTTTTCAAAAATTTTTATGATAACTTATAATAATTATACAAAAATATATATATATATATATTTTTAAAAACGTTCAATTTTTGAAAAAAAATATGTTTATTTTAAAAACAATTACTTTGTATTATATGTTGCCTATGTATACATAATTGTTCATTATAACTATAATTTATGTACCTGGCTCACTCAAGGAAAATGAACCTATTTGTTTTCCATCTGTAAACGGTCGTAGAAATTCTTCTTTCTGTTTATCATTGCCAAAATTATTTATGGCATTGACGTAAATGTTATGAACGCCCATTATGGTACCAGCCGAAGCACAGCATCTGAAGACATAAATTAAAAACGTTAGGTTTGCCGATATTACTATCTTTATATATTTATTAATATTATATACATATATATGTTTTTAAATTCCTATTTAAATGTTGATTTTACCTAGAAATCTGTTCCATGGCTATAGCGTAAGATAAATAATCAAGACCCGTTCCTCCAAAATGTTCAGGAATACAAATAGCCATAAGGCCTAATTCGCCCATTTCTTCAATCTATATCAAGAAAGCAAATATTGCTTGTTTAATAAATCATTTCTTATAAGATATTTCTTTTTTTACATAAATACAATGACTTTTAATTATAAATAATAATTATTACCTATTCAAATTTTATAATGTTATTACAGGTCAGATAATAAAACCAAAGTAAAATAATGTAGGTATATTATATTTATCATTATCAGCTAAAAAAATTTTGATCCGACTAATGGTCTTATTAAAATAATAGTATTAATTCCTAATATTTAATTCTTATTTCCAAGTAACTACCTGTTTTTTAGGATACAATTTTTCACGATCAGTTTTTGCAGCTATAGGTTTTAGTTCTCCTTCAGCAAAGTCTTTGCATGTTTTGTGCAATAATTGATGTGTTTCTGATAATGATGCTAATGATGCTATGCCTTTTCCTTCTTGTAGGTTATTGGAAATCCATTTCAATATAGTATTAGGACACAATTTATTACTTATTCCTAAAAGAACATAACTTATTAAACAAATTTTTACGAGGACTTATATTTTTAAAAGGTGGGCAATTAGTTATACCGCTCTGTGGTATATTATTTGTCAAATCGGTGACTGTTATGAGTGTATTCAATTTGAATTCCATGATATATAATTATACACAAAAAAAAAAAAAAATTTAAGCTGAGACGGTCTATCAGCCTATATCACTAAATATATTTTATAATTTTAAATGATCCACCAAATAGCTATTAAAATTATTTATTTAAATTTTTGTATTAGAGTAATTTGATTTAATTTTTTCCACAAACATTGTATTTATTTTATTATTATTTAAATAATATAATATATTTATATCATATTAAATTATTGGTATTAACTGTTGAGTCAGCAATATCGTTCTGCGAATACCATAAAGTAGTGAGAATATATTCATAATATAATATATTTAAATTCATCTACATTTTTAAAAAATTTCATTATGTACAGAAAAATTTCACACACAGAAGAGAAAAAATCACGTTAAAAATATAAATTTAATCACTGCCAATATGATAACAGTACGGTAAGTAGATACATATAGATGTATTAGTGTAAAACATGCGGCTTTTGTTAATTTTTTATTTTATAAAAATTAAATACGACTATCTATCAGATATAACCAATCGTAGACTTTAAATTGAACGTGTATACATTGTACTTATTGCTGTGCTCGTGGTTTCACACGTCACCTAGTTACCTTAAAATTTCGTTTTTTCGATAACACGCTATTCCGGTGAGACGTTTATCGTATATGATACAATATTTATTCACTCAATCCATTCAATGACTTTAAATTACTCAGTTGTACATTACAAATAGTAGCAATGGACAACAATTTAAATGGTGATGTCGAAGACAACGGAAGCGACCTTCTTGCTGAAGAATTGGCCAAACTCCAACGACAGTATATGCTCATGGAGAGCAACAAAAAAGCGTATACTGAAGAAATGGGTAGCTATTTAACCAAACAGAAGTAAGTCTAATAAATGTGATGAATCAAATTTAGGCATACTTAATGTATATTAACATACATATAATAAATTATTATTTTATCATCAAAATATGCGTATAATTCCGACATAATTATATTATATTTTTAAAGATTTCAAAAAATGGACTAAAATTAAAAAAAAAATACTAAACTAAATTAATTATAATATAACACCTATGAATTATTATTGCTTGAGTATTTAACATGTATTTTATAAGTATACTTTATAAAATGTTCACATGCATTTAGGTAAAATACTTACCAACTGCTTAATTTTAAATATTATACAATAAATGTAGATAATTTTTAAGATTTATATTTACATATATAACACAATAATACATGATACTATACTGAACTAATGTACTGTATAATATACATAATGACCAAACTTTAAACATTGCTTGTAAAATGTGTCCAAAATCTACTAATAGTACACATGTAAAACGTTTCAGAAAAATTATCGGCAGTTTGGAACAAGAGAAGGTAAATCTAGTAGAGCACGTAAATTTGGATAAAAACAAACGAAAGGAAATCAACGATTTACGTTTAAAAGAATGTTTGGTTGAAAAATGGAACGAATACTTGTGCGTTAAAGATGAATTGACAGACCAAAAAAAATGCCATGACGACATCGAAAAGGAAATATTGAAAATACAAAACGAACTCGACCAAAAATTTAGACAGAGGGAATCCTCGGCTAGCAAATCAAAAAACAAAGTCGAATGCGATCTACAAAGACACGAAGAACTGCTGGAGAATAAATTGCACGTGGTAAGTCTTGTATACATATACATAGATAGGTAGATTTTAACTTTTATATAGTTATATAATATAATATAGTGTACACAAAACATTATCGATTGTACGAAAAAACAAATTTCAGAAAACTGTCAAGTTCAATAAGGTTTTAACGGAAAACGCTCGTTTGAGAAACGAAATCGACAATTTGCTCGTACAACGGTCACAGTTCAACGAAGCGTACAAGGCTCTGACAGCGCGTTTGGATGACAGTAAACAGTTAATGATGGACCTAATTGAACAGGCCACGACGGCGTACGAACAGAGGTATAATATGCTACAATATAAGTTTTCCGATCTAAACTCCCTTTTGAACATTGCGCCGAGATTGATGATAATTATTTCTGTATTATTAATGTATATTAATATATCATATTATTTAGTTTGATAGACTAAATAATATTCAATTATGTTGATGCGTGTTTTTAGGGAGGACGCTCAAAACCGATTGATCAACATGAGTGACGAAGACAAACAACAGATCGCCTTGCACAAGGCCGAAGTCAAGGAACTGCAAAGGCAGTACGACCGCGATTTAAAACTTCAAGATTTCTTGTCCATCAAAGGTATGAACGAGTTAATTTTAATAATATTAAATTACACTTATTCACGTCTATAAATAAATTAGCGCCGCGAGTAATTATTAGGGTTTTAGTCAACTGCTAAATTAAGATTCAATTGGGATTCTGCTGATTTAATATACGCACCTGCTGGCCGCCAAATAATTATAAGTTTTATTTTAATTTACCATAAGATTAGTTTAATACCTACTTATTTTAAAAATCTCAAACGTGAATAAAGTTAATTGGAATAAGTAATAAAGAAATTTTCAAGATTCGTGGGTAAAATAATATACATTTTATGTCTAGATATTCAAGTGCATAAGCGTTATAAACAACAAAAAAAATTTAAAGTTTCCTATTATTCCTTGTTGCGGGGTGGACTGTAAATTTCCGGTGGTTGATTCGGATATTCAGGTTTATTAGGGTAATTAATTTAAATAATTATTAAAAAAATTTTTTTATTTATTAAGGTGTTTATTTTCTATACTATCTGTACTATTTTCTATAATGATTATTCATTATGCAGAGCCGACACTACACGCTAGATAATTTTTCGACGACTGATTAGGACGACTAGGTATAAAAATAAAATCATTAAAGGTAAGATCGTCGGCCTCCCTGACTGATAACAGTAATCATTACGGTTTATTGATAATATTTGGACCGATACGCAACACTCCTACTAAAACCTGAATGTATAATACCTATGATTTAATCGCGAAAACATGCGTCATAATATTAGGTGATTATATTATAACGAGTGCACTGTTATGGCGAGTAAAGGCATAATTAAAACATCATAAAAAAAATAGTGACTTGCATTCAAGGTTTAACCGTTAAATCTGTTTTGAATTTAATTAATTATATTAATTGGTATTAGGTACTATAATTTGTTGTAAATAATTGTAAATCATTAATTATGCAATATAAATTGTTAAAAATTTTAATTAATATCATCAATAAATTAGATAGATGATCTTGTCAGAAAAAATTTATAACAAAAAAAATAAAATAAAAAGGTATTATAATTGTTAATTTATAGTTGTGGATAGAGTTATTTGGATTCATTTATTTCCTGTGTGTTTACCATGTCATCGTCAGTAGTAAATAATAATAAATTACATAGTTGAGTATTTTATTTCTATTTTTTGTATAACAGGACAACATCGCGTACTCATGGATTTCGAACGTAAAGAAGAAGAAAAGAAACAAAGTGAATTGGGCAACAAAAAGGAACAAGCAGAGAAATGGGTAGACTTGATGGGGTGGCTGCAAATGTACGTGGGCGAGAGCAACATCGATAGGATCGTGGATCTGTTCGTCCGGCAAGAGGAGGAGAATTTCGCGTTGTTCACGTACATAAACGAACTAAACAGCGAGGTACACACAAATAATTCTAAATTATTAATATATAGTCATTTTTTTGGATGTCCGGTCGTTAGTAAGTGTATTTTTCATAGTACATTTATTGGAAAATTGTTTAATATTAAAGACGCAACAACGTTTAGAAATTAAATGAATACAAAAAATTAAAAAAACTGCTAAGTATACGCATATGATAACATATGTTGATCGATGTATATTGATATATTATCTAGACCATCATCCACTTCGACGTGTGTTCTTACTGTTCTTAGTAAATCAGTGTTTAATAATTACGACGTTAAAAAAATGTTTGTTATAAATATGTCTTATGCCTTACACATATATGTACCTTAAATATTCGCATATGGTAAAATAAACATATGTATTATCGTAATATATTATTTTGAACTTATATACGTATGGTGTTCTGTTCTAAAAATTAGCGCGTATACTGTTCGTTTCAGGTGGACGACTTACAGAAAGAAGTTGTTGTGCTGAAGAACCGAGTGCACGAACAGCGAGCCATTAACGAGTCAAGAGCTTCAAAACAAAAGGAAAACATGAACGGGCTAAGGACGCACTTACAACAGCTTGTTGACGACGCGAATCTAGAAAATGATAGGATAAAAACCGTACACACCGAGTTGACTGAGCTCTTGGATTCCGTCGAAAAACTGTTTTTGTCCATCCACTGTGACCATTCTCCGATGTATAAGATACTCGGTAAGACTCGTTAGATGTTGACTTAGCTTATAAATACCTACTGCAATTGTATAATTTAATAACGCGCGCACGTTTGCATGCCGTGCGAGTGTTTCGAATGCAGGAATCAGCTATGGCAGGTTTATAGGTAGTGATCTTTAGTGAATGGTTGTTGACTCATAACGCCCTTGAAACACTTTTTTTATGTTTAATGAAATGTTTAAGTTTAAGCATATGATCATAAATGGAACTGCGAATCGGCCACTAACCATTAATACAATTTCAATGCATTTCTTGATGAAAGGAGGGGGGAGTAAAAAAATGTATGCTAAGTACACCCTCTTTAGTTTACCCTATCAAATTTTTTATATCTTACAAGATTTTTACGTTACATTTTATTGATATTATTATTTTATTTTTATTGAATTATCATTATACTTAGGCTTTTATCGACATTTAAGAGGGGGTGTAGGGGCTGGATGACACCGAATACACCTACATCTACAACTAAATAAATAATTATAACACTAAATAAGAGATAATAAGGAAATAATGGTAGCTAAAATGTGTCAAGTGGAGAGAAGTAGCGGAGGACAGGGATAGGTGGCAAAGTTTAGTGTTTTCAGGATGGTCCTAAGGGCCGTAACTAAAAAAAAAAAAAAAAAAAAATAAATAATGGTAGCTAAAATCAAAAAGTAAATGACCGCTAATGAATAATAACACGAGGCACGAATTAAGATATAATATTACAGCGAGATGGAGTCATTGCACTGCATGTTCTGTTTTCTCTTTCTGACCGACGTGCAACAATTTGCAAATAAATCAGACATTTATGTTTAAAAAGAACGAAAATACATCTGGTGACTAATAATAATAACAATACGCTTTCTAAAGAGTTTAAATAAGAAAAAAAATACTCACTAGTTGCAGAAAACATGATTTCGTAGGTTTAACTCCTCATTCGGTTACACAAGAACATAATATGAAGTATACTCGCACTTAGACAGTCACGCGGCAATTCCGTTATGATACTGACAACGCGTAGGTAACTTATTATTGTCGATCAGTAATTTAATAAAGTTCATCAGCTGCTATAGACGCGATTGGGTTTAAGACACACTAACATAGTGATTAGTGAAGGTCAATTTCGCCGTCAATTATACGTGTTTATTAAACCTAAAAATAACAAATATATAAGCCGATTTTAACTGACTCGTTCTATTTAACTGTTAGGTACATTATATGTATAATAACAACTAGTATAAAATATTCACGGGTACACAGTTCCACTGTTCATGGTTACCATACAGGTATCACTGTATCACGGTCATAAAAACTGGTATAGTAGGTACTTAAAATTATATTCGTATAGATACAATGCTGAATATTATTTAAAATAGAGATACCTACGCACGAAGTAACGCCTATTCGTCCACGTTTATAGAGTATATTGTATAATATTATATGCGTTTATAAAAACCGCGTAGATAACTATAAATTTTTATTGTAACGGCTATTGTAATTCGAAGAAATAACGAATTTTAACTTAAGTCGGCAAAATATTTGTTAACTGTTTGTAAAAGCGTGTTTTTTTATATAGTAATATCATGATATATTTTATTGTGCTGTTATATGCACAAAAAAAAACTACAGTTAAGTACTTAGTACTTAGACATAAAGTCTATAAAAATAACTACAATATAAACCAATATAATTTTGAGATAAATAGTGCTTTTGAGTACCAATTACTTATCAACTATGATGTTATAGTCTTACGAATTTACAGAAACGATACGAATAGTTTTTTTTTTTAATAGCTACAACTTTTTTACACTGCTGTTCGTACGTGTTTTAATATTATCGTATTAATTTGATGAGCAATAATCAAGGTGTTAAGAATACACAAAAACATGATAAAGAAACAGGAAACGCGTAATGAGTTAATGTTTTAGTAATATTAGCTTATATTCATAAATATAAATATAGGTACACATTTTATATTATGCTTTTACTATGGTCGTATTTTAATGACCTACTGAATGTGAACTAGTTACATATTATTTTGCATACGATCAGTTGTAGTTTTATAATCGGCTTATTGAATGTTTATTGGCTCGGACGTTTCGATAATAAATTTATTTTTATATGACTGTATTTTTAAATGTCATATGTATGGGGTACCGGATATTACAGCACAGGAAACGTTCACAAAATAAATATAAAAATTAAGTACCTATTTTATTTTGAAAAACAATTTAATCATTATAGATTACTGCGTTGAATTTAAAATGTTAATACGACGTTTTTTTTTAGTTTTTATACCATGTATAAATTTATTTGCTAGTGAGTTTTTGCTCTCAGCTATTAAACGATCAATAAGTAAAAATAGCGTAGTAGCCATTAATGTATAATAACAGGAAACCGATTTTTACCATTGAAATACCATGCTAATTTTTGTTAACCCATCAGCCTGCTCTTCAGACAAACGGCTGAACATATAAAGTTGTACAAGATATCAATAGATCAGAAATACTGTGCAGATGGGAACAGAAGAACTCGCAAGCAGATTGATTATATGGTTTAAAACTTATAAACAAAAATGCTCAAGTATTTTTAAGACCGATTTTGCGTACGCAACGAAAATATCGTAAAATATATCATATGTCCCTCGGATTCGCCGCTTATCCATCCCTACTATACTCTCTATAAAATAAAAAAATAATTATAATATTAAAACATAATGTAATATTTATTCTGTCTATGATTTAAATGATACAAATCCACAAGATCTATGTAAAAGTCAACAATTTTAATGTTATTACGATTTTCGTAATACATAGAGTAATATTATAGTAGCTGGATCGTTATACGTTATTCGCTAAATTATTTATATTTTATGTTACATTATAAAATACAGTATATTTAAAAAAGGAAGTATAATACAATATTCTATTACCATTGTATTGACTAAGTAGAAACAGAGCATTTTATTATAAAATAATAGCTGATATCATACCAAAAACACTTCGTTATAACTCCGTGTAAAAAAAGTTAAGTCAAAAAAAAAAATTAAGATAAGTGATTATTAAATCTTTAAAAAACGTGATATAATATGGAAACTAAGTAAAATGCCATTTTATAATATTACAAATACCTACGATGACAAATAAGATCGATTGTAAAGTTAAATACTTAGTCAACATATTATGTAACTACTAGGCAGGACGTGTGAGTATACCTTAAATAAATACAAATAAGTAACCACTATAGTATTTTTTTTAAATTAATAATTTTCTAAACAATATTTTAACTAATTATTTAACTTTATAATAGATCTTATTTTTCGTCATAGGTAATTGTAATATTATAAAATGGAATTTTACATAGTTTCCCATGTTTCCATAATATATCACGTCTTTTAAAAATTTGATCGTTACTTACTTAATTTGTTTTTTAATTATTTAGCTTTTTTTCCACAGAAAAAAAGTAATAATGAAGTGTTTTTGGTGTAATACTATATACAACTAGTATACTGGCATTTGAATAACTGAGTAACTACTTACCACGTATATAACTAATACGTATCGTAACAAGCATTTATGATAAGATTTCAAAAACATACATTCTATAAGCATACTGTATTTTGTTTAAGGGTTTTGGCTATAATTTACACCACTTCAATACGTAATATATAAAATAAAATTCCCACGTGACATTAAAATGGAAATCATATCTATTATATAGATTCAATTTTTATCTTCTTTAACTCCCTTAGGAGTTAAATTTTTAAAAATCCTTTCTAAGCGGATGTCTACGTCGTCGTAATAGCTATCTGTATGCCAAATTTCAGCCCGATCCGTCCAATGCGATTTGAGCTGTTTGTTGATAAATCAGTTAGTCAGCTTACTGTTTTATATAATATACAGATTTGAAGATTAAGTATCTAAAGTTATTTGAAACTAAATAATTTATATTAGGCACTTACAGACCATGAAGTACATATAGTCTATATATGTCTATTGGATCAGCCTAAACTATTTATTGAATCAGTTGTCTCATCTATAATCTGTCTTACACACGTTAAATAATAATGTATCGTAAATGATATGTGTCGTTATAATTAATTGTATTAGATAATATAATGAAAGACTTTTTCAAATATGTGTATTTAATTATTAGTAATAATTTATTACCAACACTCTTGATAAATCTGACCGATAATATTCATGAAACAACAATAATATCAACAGTTTATAATATTATTCTAGTCGTGCATTTAAATATATATTTCAGGAGACGATATTCGAGCGAACGTATATAACATGACTTTCTACGTTGATCTGATTGAAACAAAAGTGTCGGATGTTGTCAAAAGCCTGAAAAATATAGAGTTGATGTAACATTTATTGTAATTTGTAACTTATTATAATCAAATGTCCGAATTATTACATCGGAGTTATAGAATATAATTATCAAATAAAAATTTGAATAAACAGTTAAATTTTAATATTGTTTATATAACGAATGAATAACCTATCTGAATTATATTACGTATAATTATTTCCAAGTTTTCAATTACTGGAAGAGAGCATTTAAAATATTATATTTAACAATTTTTTTTTTTTTTTTTGTAATTTTTTACATAATATTATTTAATAATTTTGTAATATTTTTATAGTTTCATAAATAGTATAGTATGTACTCGTAATAGTAAGTAAATAGATAAATGCAAACAATAATGCATAGTATATTAATATGGTTAACAATTAAACTATCACTTTATATATAAAGTTAGTAATTGGAAATATGTGTTAGTTTAATATTGTAATATAATGTCATATGTGTCTTTTGCATTTAATATTGACCATGTGTAAACTATTTATTGATGTGTCTATATGTGTGATAAACTTAGAATATACCTTACTCCCATTTATTTTATACATGTAACAAAACGAAGCTTTTTCTGTCAATCTATGTATTTTTATTTCCTCAATCCATTATATTTATAAAAATAAAGATAAGTTGACCGCAAATCAAAAACGGGACGCATACAGACTAATTCTTGCAGTCCTAAAAATAATCGAACTGGAATAGAGTATCCAATTCAATGATTGATAAAAAATATACATAATAGGTACATGCGATGTACCTACATTATTCTATCAATTAAATCAATTAATTAATTATACTGATAATTTGTTCTTTATATCATTTGTTGCCTATTGAGTATCGGTACATTTTTCACTGGTTTTATTTATATCTATTGGTTATTTAAAAAAACATTTCTATAGATTTCATAGTTTTTTAAATAGGAAAATATATATTACAAACCATATTTTTAGAATGTATGGTTATATAATTATGGTTTAAAATTTTAAAAATTTTAAATCAATATTAAAAAGCATTTCTATAAAATAGTTTAACTTTATGTTTTAGGTTTATTTGAATTTGTTTGTGTCATCACCTTTTGAGGCAGTATAAATGTTTTAATGTTCAATTATTCGGTGATTTTTAATGGAAAATTGAATTTAGTATTCTATCTTATAAACAAAAATTTAAAAAATTTAAGAAAAACGAGATTTACTAAAATCCAATTTTTAATAAAATCAATTTTTTTAATATAACTATTGAAAATAAATACGGAATAACTGAAGATACTTGAAATTTTCAAGTTTATATTATCATTTTCTATACATATTATAAGTTTTTAAAAATATTTTAATTATCTTTGAGCTATTTATAGGCAAATCCAATTTTTTATTTTTTTTTTTATTTATCAATAAAAATCGTTACTTCGAAAACATTAAAAATTGAATTTGAAGTTCTTTTAAAGTTTTTATTAAATTAAATCTAAAAAAAAAGTTTAAACTCAAATTTACAATAATTATAAAGTCCGAATTTAGAATTTTTACAAATGTTGTCAAATTTAGTAGGTTCATTCATTACAATGGTTCCCACATCCCACTCAACCTCTATTGTATAGCAGAGCAGTAACCACTGGCTCATACATACTGTCAAAATATCAAGTACGATTTTCAGTTTTTCAGAATCTCCCTTTTGTTGCTTTTTTCTTTGATTTTTTCAGCCATGTTTAATACTTTGGTCAACTGTTGGTATTCCTCCGCAATGAACGCTAATTGAGTTTCTATACCCGGTATTTTATTAGGTACAGATTTTTTTACACGCCGACACATTTGCTTGTAGATATTCCACACAGAGGCGGCCACCTGCAGGTATAGGTATAATATTGGTACACTCAGACGATAATAGTAGTACAATTTATACTTCGTAGCGATACAACGTATCATAATTTAGAAATTAGAACACATTTAAAAATCCATATTATATACCAAGTCTCCTTCGATTTTCTTTTCTTTGGCCACGTTTTCGATTTTGCGATAAGCTAAGTCGGTTTTGATCATCTCGTCTTTCAGTTTTCCCAATGATTCGATGACATCAGCCATTTCGACGGAAACATGCTCCGCTTCTTCGCTCTTTTCCTGTACACAATATTATGGGAAATGAAAATATTTATATTTATTAAAAATTATATCAATACTTGCACACCCATTCGTTTAGATATTTAACAGTCATAAATTATGTATAAATAATATTAATATAATATAATTTATACTTTTGAACGTCTGAACACGTCCGTCGTCAACCGTTTCAAATCCTCAGTCTTTTTTTCGTGTTTTTGTGCAAGTTCTTTCCGTATGTTGGTCAAGTTTTCGTATCTCTTTATAACGTTATCTATGTTTTTAAACTCTTTTGACTCTTCCACTACTTTTTCAAGAAAATCCTAGAAAACCAATTAAAACTAAATATATATATTATGCAGAATTAAGTATTATCACTATGGGTGATAGTATGATAAGTCGCTTAAATTTGTTTGTATAATATTGCAACGCCCTCCTCCTATTTAGTACATCCACAAAAAAATAACGGAATATTCAATTACAAAATCGTGAAGTACAATTTTATTTATAATTACTTCGAACGGCTTCAACTCATCTACGCTGCGTTGCATCCCCTCAGCAGCCTCTTCAAGCTTTAAAATTGACTTCTGCATTGGAACGGTTTGCTGTTCGTAACGTTTCGTTTCTTCGTCGTCTTCATTTGTCTTCCTTATAAGCATTTCGCATTTCGATTCGTTTTCCTTCGTAAAAAAATAAATAAATAATGATTTTACAGCAGTATATAACTTTTATAACTGTTTTATATTTATTACTCGTATTAACTAATCATTATACTTACTAACGTATTATTCATTATTTATTATACTTATTAAATTATTATTCACTATTCATTATACTTATGAACATACCTATGAAGTATAACATTACTATTGTATATTATACATAAAATTTCATTTCATCATACCGAAGAAAACTGTTCGTGTCTCAACTCTTCTTCTCGTAGTTCTTTAAGTTTCTGATCCAAATCTTTCCACTTTTCTTTCATTTCTCGATCAAATGCTTTTTTTTCTTTGCGCTTTATTTCTAGTCGGGTTCTTGCAGCATCTCGTTCACGAATAGCTATTATTAATTCGTTATCAAGCGACTTTGGTAACGTATCCCATTTTGGAAATTTCCTATAGTAGTTTTACACACCATATTTATTCATTAATTCATTATTAATTATAAAGTAAAATTAATTATGCTTTTTGAAATGTATTTACTGGTCGCAACAGTCTAATCACTAGAAAAATATTATTTAACGTTTGTCATAACGAAATGTTATCATATAATGATTCAAGTTGAGACTTTAATAGTGTATGACACGACGCGTTTTTATTAGAAGAAATTGTAGCCTTACAGGAACAACTCTCATGCCTTGCGAAATAGTCAAATTTCGATTTTTTATAAAAGACTAAGTATTTATACAAATTCCATTACACTTAGGTTTTAAAAATTTTATTTTCAGTAGTTGTAATAAATGTATATATCTAAATTCTAAATATTATAAGTTATACATTTTGTGGACTAACTTGATAAAATCATTTGACTCGGCTTTAACTTGCATGTACATATTGACTGCTTTAACGCAATCGGCTTCAATGTTTATCATCTTTTTTGGCTTGATTTTTGGATCTTGCATTTTAATTTTTTTTTAAATTAATTTGATAATATTTTTGCTAAACTGTAATGTTCTTAGAACTTGTAAGTTTATTAAAATTTGAAGTAGTAATGTACAATATTGCACTTCACAATTATGGTATATTATCAGAATATTTTGTGGCAGGCTACAAAAATGGTCTCCTAGCAACTCCTTATTACACGTATAATCAATGCTATTATAATACGGTTAAATTAACTTTATAAATAATACTGTAATTGCTATAGGCGCAGATTATAATAAGAGCGATTATATTTTCATATTCTTACATAATAATTAATAATATAAAAAAATTCTAAGCATGTGTTTCTGTATATATTGAATAACTATTGATGTATTATTGAGTCAGTTGATAAACGGAATAATACAATGCTTGTAAGCATGATCATATGGTAGACATAAAATTGAATATAATAAAAGCAAAATAGTTTGTATTATCTAGATTTTTTTAGTAAAATGAGTGTATAGTTTGATTTTAACTTATTAAAAGTTATATAATATTATACTCATATTATGTAAGTGAACCAATTTTAAGGGGTTAAGTATAGGCATTAGTACAAACATGTGTGTACAAAGTTAAAGATAATTGTTATACTTATACATAATAATATTATGTACCAATAAAATTACTTTTTATAATATTAAATTTATGGAAATAACTGAAAACGATTCTTTAAAATTTATAGTGTACATGTATTACTTGCGTAATATTCGAATTATTATCCATAACGATAGAAAACAGATTTTTGAAAAATAAAATCATTATGCAGTATTTTTTGATCTTTATAGATTTATAGATATAAAAAATAACATTTTTCCATTTCATGGAAATAATGAGAAAGTTGTCAAAATTTTTTTTTTTAATTTTTGAACTACAATCAATCATCAAAGAAGAATTAATTAATTTTTCAGCTTTATATGATTTGGTATCAAAATCACTAGAAGGTGAAATCAAATTAGACGATTTAGAAGAATCTGATAAGTGACTGATGGAGATAAACAAAGTTGTCAAATTATCCAAAACATGATTTTTACATTTATGAACAAAAAATTAACAATATACTCTTAATCTAATAATATAATGTTCAAGAACATTACAAAATATAGATAATAGGAACAGTACTACCAAAAAGTTACTAATTGCGTATTCGAAGGAGCATAATTCGTATTTATCTGAGAATAGAATTGTTTTTTGTATACAATTATAAAATTAATTAAAATTGAACACATTTATTACAGTGGCCTACTTAATAACAAGTTATACTTTATACAGTATAATCACAGATACCTATATAAAACTTATACGTCCATGAACATGATATCGACTTCACTAGATTTTTTTTTAACAATATATTAATTTTTGTAAAATCCACTATGATATTTTAATTATTTTTTTCTCAAAAAAAAAAAAAAAAAGGAAAAAATTATTAATTTCTTTTTGACTTTTGTATTAATAAAATGTCAACAATTAAAAATATAAATAAAATGTTATTTAAATGATAACATTCACGATATTTTGCATGTGTGTGATTATAATAATAAAGAAGTTGTGTGAAACTAATACATATAATTTTATATGATACGTCCATTACATAACATTATCGCTACGACCAATATGTAACGGTTCATCGTCGAATATTAAATACCTACTCGATTATTATTCAGTTTTGTTAAAAATTATTAAATAATATAGTAAGATAGTAAGAATATTAAAATATGTAAATTAAAATTTTAATAATGGGTCAAGTCTTACGTAATACGTTTACAGAAAGCATTTTAAATTTTAAATGAAAAAATTCTGAAAGGTTAACTTAATCAGTGTTATAGTTATTTGATATTTCACAATTACAAGTAGGAATGATTAAAATGAAACTATTTTATAAAAATTATAATAAACATTATTTATTACAATATACTTACTAGTTAATACACAAGAGAATTTCAGAAACTTTTAAATCGTATGATGCTTTATAGCAAATTTTCTCTCAATGTTTAGACAAATTAGACAGTTATCATATATATAATTGAATTAAATAAATTCGAAAACTGGTTAGTCTGATTTAGATACCTAGGTACTAAATGCAAATAAAAAAATGTAAGCAAATTGATATGATTAGACATCTCGAGTAGGTTACTATTATAATTTATAGCCATGTTAATTTGTGTTAAATTTGTATTCAATCAGATATCAATGTATATTAATTGTACATGAAAAACAAATCTGAGCGGTGATGGTTTGTCAGTCTATATCAATAGGCATATTTCATGATATTATGTACTTCTGATATTTATAACTTATAAGCTATAGCTATAGCTATTCAAGTCATTTATTTTACTTTTAATATTGTCGTAGGTTGATATAATTTTTCTAAAAATATTGAATTAATCATATTATTAGTATGAAATTATTATAATAATAACTAATAAGTTTATATTATATTATATCAAATTTTATTAACCAATATAGTTCAAAAAATTTTTAACATCTTTTTGTAAATGCAGTAAAAGTGTAAAAATAGATACATAGTATAAATAAATAATATTAGGCGTAAAAGTCTTAAGTTCCCACGAATAATATTTTTTAATTATAATAAATAATTAACATCGTTATTTATCGTTTTAGTAAATAATATCGTCCAAATTTTACTTTAAATTTCTATAAAAAATAATTATATTTTTATAATTTTTAGATTTTATAATTTCTCTTGATTACTCTATCCAGAATCTAAAATTCAGCAATAAATACGAATAAATTTCAGAAGTTATTTGCTTCGTTATTTCGTTAGATTATTCAATCAATATATTACTACTTTTTGATGTGCATGTGAAAATTTAAAATTTACATTTACTATCATTTAGGTGCATATAATATGAAATGTAAGCAATTAAAGCTCTAAGATGATTAATATATTTATTTGACAATTTACATCCATCTAATTTTTTAGATGCGTTTGAAATTATTGCGATTTCTCAGTAAAAATTTAAAAAAATGTATTTGAAAGGTCATCGGATATGGCTCAAGGTATTTTAAGGTTTACGAACTACAAATCATTACCTCTCGGAAATGTTTTCAACATATTTTTATAAATTTTTAAGATCATTTTTGACAATTATATAAAGTTTGTAAAGTCATAAATTATAAATAATCTAGTTGTTGATATAATTTTAGTAAAATAACATTTTAATTAACGAGAGGGGGAGACCAAAAAGTAACGGAAATTGAGCTAGTGGTAGGAAGGGGGTAGACTTGGCTTATTAGAGGGTTCGGGGTTTTAAAAAAACACTTGTTACGAGTTAGTGTAGGTACATCGAGCAGTCGCTGTAAGTGGAACGAATCGTCCATAATTTTTTTCGTGAAAGACATTTTTTTATTTTAGCAAAAAAGTAAAATGGCTGACTGCCGATAACAGCGCGCAGCCGTGAAATTTTGTTTTTTATTAGGGAAGACACCTGCAGAAACTCTTATAATGCTCAGACAGCTTATGGAGATACTGTTTTAAGTAAAACTCGTGTCTACGAGTGGTTCCAATATTTTAGAAGGGGAGAAATGATCGAAGACCAGCCTCAATCTAGTCACCCCTCCACATCAAGATTTAATGAAAATGTTAAACAAAAATCACACTCTGATTCTTGAAGACCGTCGCTGAATCATTGATGAATTAGTAAGTTTCTCTGGATTGTCTTGAAGTTCAATTACTTGATACTTCAATTCAAAAGGTTTTATCGGAAGATTTGAACATGAGAAGAGTTGCAACCAAACTGGTTTTCACCGTAAACGAGCAAAAATAGCGTCGAGTTCAAGCTTATTTGGAGTTGTAAAATAAACTGCAAGCGGACCCAGAACTTTTTTCCAGAGTAATTACTGTCGATAAAACACGGTGCAATAGTTATGACTCAAAATGTATATAAATGGACAATGTTTTGCGACTGTAGAGGAGGTGAAACAAAAATTGCTGCATCAACTAAAGGCGATTCCAGTAGATGAATTTACAAAGAAGTGCATTACAGTCGATGATATTTACTTTGAAGGTAATAAAAATTTGGTGTAAAAATATTGAAAAATAAAAGACTTTGGTAAAACGAAAATTCCATTACTTTTAGGTCTCCCTCGTATATTTGAATCACTCTGTCTACAATTTATCAAAATATCAAAAATTCAAAATATTTAAATATAATACTTACTTAATTTTAAATTATTAAAAGAATAATAAACAAATTTATGATTTTACAATGATATCGGTATTTTTTTTTTACGTTTTGTTTTATTATTTAAAATGCTACAAATGGGGGTTAAAATGTTTAAAGTAAAAAATAAATTTACTAATATTTACAAAAATGTCACAAATACGAGAGTATTTTCGCAACAACAGCTTTTTACCAAATATAAATATTTTTTTTTTCATAATTCAAAAATAAATAACCGTAAAGATTTGAAATTTTTATAAAATATGATATTAGCACTATGTATAATTTATTAACACACAGCATAATTGAAAATTCCCTCGAATTTCCTGGATATTATAAAAAATATTTAAATATAATTTAATTTTTATCATTTTTATTTCAGTTTTAAATTCACTTTTTTATTATTATTATACATCTCAAATCAATATTTGAAATTGTGGTAATGAAATTAATAAATGCAAACTCCACCATTTATAAAATGATTTAATTATTATTATTTAATAAGAAACATTTCGATATTAATTCAATCTGATAAATTAGCATTATACAATAGGTATACTTTAATTTTTTACTATAGGAGTCAATACATACTTGTACAGCAGGCATGTCAAAGTCAAACATGAGGCCCACATTTTTGTGGTTCGCGACGCGACTACCAATATTAATGGACAAAAAAAAAGTAATAACAAAATATTAATGCCGTGTCACAATTAATTATCTTTTTTTTCTTATTTGGTATTTATTTTTTATACTATCTTATATCTGATAAGTTAACCTTTTTTAATTTAGTTGTATCTGTTGTGTTCGTAAACGTAAAGAATAAAATTAAAAAGTTTGTATAAAATATTTATTTATTTTTGTTAAATTTTTACGTGTGACCCGCATAGCAAATTATTCAATATGTTTGACCTACTTGATACTTTGAGTTTGACATGCCTATTGTACAGCAACAAACATACGTTTTATCACATATGTCAGTGGTCACCAAATGACGGCCCCGAACAAATTTTATCCGGGCTGTAGACAAAGAATAAGTAATATATATTTAATATTATATTATGTTCTCATTACATCCAATTTTAAAATATTACCTATTATATGTTAAAAATATGTACTTAGAATTTTGATGTCCCGAGAAAAATGTTCAGATTATTAATGTGGCCCTTGAAGCGCTAAAAAATATTAATTAGTGACCCCTGACCTATGTATTATTTCATAGAAGATATCAAATTTCACATTGTAAAATACCCAACCAAATCGTAGAGCATTTATTATTGTGAGATAGAAGTTGTTAATTGATATTATAAAATAATTTCAGTATAAAAATGAAGTTATATTTAGGTAGGTTATAATTTTATGTATAGATGAGTAGTTAGTTGAAAATATTTTAATAATAATCGCTCAAATGGAAAAAATTAGTCTGTAATGAGTAATGACTAATGCTGCTTGTATCAGACATCAGTTATCAATAATCTCCATCAAAATAAAATCACATTGTAAAATCAAGGTTAATGGGCATTGTGTACATGAGATATAGATACAACAGACAGTTTCGATAATTATCGTTTTGTTTTCATGATTAGTTTAAAAATTACTAAGAACTTTTTTATTTACCGAAGAATAAATCTGCAGTTCCAATTTTGAACTATAAACTACTATTAATATTGAAGCATTTTTGCTGGTATAAAAAGTGACTTCAGATGGTTACCTATAAATTCAATTTATCGATCAATCCACTTCAAAAATATGGGAAATCTACACATCATTGCATATTTATTTGTTTTTATTACTATTTCGTAATTTAATAATTAATCAATAAAATTCTTATTGTTGCATTAATTTGTGGTTTCATAATTTTGCTTAGTAATTTATATAATGGGTATGTCGGTAGGTGAGCGATGTTTATGGGTTTGGTATTATTTAGGGTATTCAAAACATCAATGAATTAAGAAAAATTGATTTTTGCGCGCAGAATAAAAATTAGTGCGTTTTTGTAGAGGTACGGAAACAAACGGTTTTCCAAAAATTGTTTTGGCGATAATTTTAAGTCAAAATTGTTAGGTAAATGTTTAGGTAGGTACCTACTTACATTTTTGTTCCTATTATAATCCGGCTTTTAAATGGTTTAGTAGGTATTTATTGTAGGTACTTCTAATGATTTATTTTTAAAACAAACCTCTTTACGGCTTGTTTTGGTGATGAACAATCATCATACTACTATGTCGTATCAGTTATAAAAAGTTGGAAAACCGTTTGCTTTCGGTAGGTACTCCGCGAAAACATGCTGAATCATTATTTATTTTGTTATATTTTGGACTTACCAAGAAAATTGTCTAGTTTCACTCATAAAAAAAAGTGTAAGATATGAATGTCTAAAAGGTAAAACATTTTGGACAAAACGTTGAGGTATTTCTCAAAAACCATACTTCGCGCTCAGAGAAACTTCTAGAAACTCCCAGAAATCTGCCATGGAGGTAACGCCGAAGCGGTTGTAACCCGTTATTACGTGCACATACAACAACTGCACTCCATAGAGACAATAAACGGTTGATAACTCAAGTGATAACGGACGTCATTGCTACACATTTGAGATAGACACGGTGATCAACAAAATATATCACAAAATACTTACGACCGCGAGTCTTGTCGAATACGTTCGTCCATTATCGTTATTACTGTTATTATTAATTATTTCGCTTTTATTCTACTCTCACTGATTAACTGGAACACTGCCATTGAATTCCATCAACCGACGTCCAACGGATATTTAATGTTTCTAGTGTCGCTCTCGACTGGATTTCGGATGACGTTTTGTCTTGTCTGCTGGACATCATCAACGGTAACAGCTGCTAATTGTTGTCGACAGCGAAGTCGATAAGTCGAAGAATACGACGACGGTGGTTCGAGCATTTCGTCGCCATTGCCGCGAATCGCGTCTCGCACTTTATCCTCCACTGCCACAAGCTCCCGTACGTCTGTCAACGGACCCGGCCGATATGTTTAAACGTGGACTCCCGTCTCCCGACCCGATGGTCAGCAATCAGGCTACCGCCAGTACCAGGCCGACTCCACCGTCGCCGATCTGTAACGGTGGACTGCAATTCGGCGTCCAACAACCGTCTAGCTACTCCTCTTTCACGCCTGACTATCAACATTTCCCGTACACGTTTTCGTCCATCACGCCACCTGCGTACAGCTGGGCCAACACCAACAGCACGCATGTCATGAAGTATGTAACCATTTTCACACTATTTATTTTGGAGATGAACCGATATCGTCTAGCCGCAGGTTTCATTTTATTTTCTATTTCTTTTCGTTTCAGGTTTACTGGATCGTGTAATTCGCTGTCTTTGGACACGTCCTCATACCATCCTAACAATTTTGGGTCTGTGCCAAAGCGCAAAATCGATTTGGATGCCGAGTAAGTAAATTTTTAGATTCAATTGAGGGACTAAAATCATTGCTATCGCCTAGAATACTCACTAGTTACTGATTACGTTGAACATTGTTTAAAGTATGACAACTACTTGTGTACTCACATAAATCTTGCATACAATATGTTTAAAATCACAAAGGATGGTGATTTATTTTCAGAATTGCACAGCCACCCAAAATGCGTATCACCGAAGAAAAAGTGTCTGCTAGTTTACGAGACATGCACATTAGCAGTGAATTCAAACCTCATAATTACTGTGTCAACAGTTCCGTCAGTGAAATGGATGTGAGTAGTTGTCTGAATTCAATTATGTGAACCATTGTAAACTTTTTTTTTTTTTTTTTAGCTGGAGAATCCTAACCCTACAGAGGCTTTAAACATTCCTGAAACTGCTAAAACAGATTCTCCAACCACATTAGTCATGTGTGAAGAATTGCGTAAACTTCACAAAATTGACTCTATCATACCTCAACCGCTGCTCAATGTGTATGTTATTAATTATTTTATTTATAATAATTATATACTAATTTTTGTTTTAAAAATATATTTGTTGTACTTTAGAGAAAGACCAACCAACGCAGTTGTAGTATGGACTAAAAAGCCTTTAATGGAGTTTGTTAATTCATTTCCTAACTACCAGGAACCCAAATCAACTGTCGTGATAACCGAGATCATTGACGAAGATGAAAACAGCAAAGACATGTTGGTCGAAGAAAATAAGTAGGTTTAACAATAATTAAACACATTAAAAGTCTGATATTTCAATAAATATTTTACATTAATTGCAAAGTATGTGCAAAAGAAACTCAAACAAATTTAATAGTTCATTTTTTTTCTATTTAAAATTCAATTACATTTTCAAAACACACAACATAAAACAGTTGTTAGTTTAGTGATACGCCTTATACAATAAGTTACTATAATATTAAAATATAGAATTACAATAATCATAAAATTATATAGTTATTATCAAATTTAATGATATTCTAGTATCAAATTTCTGAAGTAAATTGTTTGATTTGTACTGGCTGTACACAAACACAATTCAAAATAAATAAAAATTATTTATTATTCTAAGTTTTTTTTTATATAATGTAATATGTATAATAATTTTTTTTTTTAATACAAAAATGTTGCAGTTGTGTCGCCTTTGAAGATGTTAACATGGAGCTTTGATGGGACTTCGATCTGTCGATCTGTGTTGGGACCTCATGGTAGGCGAGTTAACTTACTGTCATATAAATAACATTAAAAAAAAAAAAAAAAAAAAAACAAATAATTAATATAAATTAATATAAGTTTTAAATGTATTATTTTTAATTTTAAATAGTTATAAGAAGAAAACACTTTTTTTTGTTATTCTGTGTGATATTATATACTGTAAACAAACATTACACTGTAACATTAAATACTCATTTTAATATAATATGTACATAAATATATTTTTTCAAGACATGTTATCTTAAACAAAAGTGAATGCGTGAAATGTTAAGCAGTACAATGTGTTATTTGACATAATAAATAGGCATGGCAAAGGTTAAATTCGTATTATTAATTCTGATTCTTTATCCTTCTAAATATATATCAAAAGTATTGTTATGAAGAAGAAAACAGTGGCGTATGCAAAAACCTTAAGTTCATAGTGCCCTGTTTTAAGTACCAGAAAAAATATTTGAGAAGCAATTAAATTAGCAACCTTTTTTTAACTATTATTTTAATGTTAAAAATATATTTTATATTTTAAATCTCCAATGACAGCATTAAAACTTGATGAATGGTTATGTGCTAAATCAAGATAACGACACTTAAGCATAAATAAAATCATAAATTACACTTTATTAATAGATAAAATAAATAAATAATAATAAAACCAAATTTGTGATAAAAGCTTAATTATAACCTCTCAAGACTTATTGAAAATTTTCTAACAATGAAAATTTAACTTGAGTAGTTTTATCTATAAAATAATAGCAGTTATCAATGAGACAAAAAAAAAAAAAAAAAATTCTAATACCCATAAATAACATTACTTAAAATAAATAATAAAATAAAAACAAATTGGTTGTTAATTGAAAATAATTATTCAGTCTTTTCACAAATTATGAATATCATTTCAAAATAACAATCGAATAAAATTAAAATAAGTAGAGTATATTAAAGTTAAATAAATAAATTCTAGCATGTTTTATACTTACAAGTGTTATAAACTTAATCTGAATATTTTGTTAATGCTACTTAATCATGATTCCGAAAATAAAGTAAAACTAGTTTTTTATTAAATTGTTAATAGTACAAATTTCAAAATCAATTAATAAAAGTGTATAACAATAAAAAATAATCTTTGTTTTCAACAAAAAAACATTAAAAATATAACGATTTATTTTTTATTGCTAGAATTAAATTTTAGTGTGCACTTGTAACACAACCACACGACTCGTACAAAAATCCAAACGCTATGTAACTCCAGACAAAATTGTCATACGCCACTTATGTTAGTATCATGGTGGGGAAGTTTTCTTATTACTTACTATTTAAAATACTTAATAATGATCTTATTACCATCCTGGTGTGGTGTTGGCCAGTCGTCGCATTCGCCTAGAACATATACAATTTTTGGTATTAGCATTGAATAATTTGTTGTTATTTATTAAGAAAATAAAAATTAAGTATTTATTAGGTTCTTGCCTAGTGTTCCTGTCTTGATCTCTAATCTTCTTTTCCATTTCTGCATCTGTTAATGTCTCTAGGAATGGACTCCATTGGTCAGCATCTGATGGAGGTCTAAAAGGAGTTTCGACAACTGACAATGGTGCCTCACTAATAAAATACCATTTAATTAATAACACATAATAGATAAAGTAGTATATTTAGAAAGGATTTACCTGAAAGCATAAGTACGCTGATGCCAGCTCAATTGCCCTCGGATAGAGTATGCAATGGCAGTTACAAATTCTCCGCCCAAGCCTAGTTCAGCACATAGTTTCATGGCAAACTGTTCAGGCGAATTATCTTTTTCACCCATGTCCCATTCAACTTGATCAACTAATGATGTATTACCAACATGAATGTTAAGCTGAGATACAGAAAAAAATACTATCAATTCTCTTATGGGATTAAAACTAAAAATAAATATAAACAATATTTTTACCTTAATAATAACTCTTTGGTCATGTTGTTCATCTAAAATATTATCATTATTAAATGCTTCAATTTGCTGACGTATAGATTGTGCAATGGCTGGTACAAACGGTAAAGGGTTTAAGTCTAAGTCATCACATAGCACTTCAGCAAACTGCTCGGGTGTTATTAAACTTTCTAAAAGGAAATATTAATTTAAATTATATGCCTATCAATAACAAATATAATTTAATTAATTCTTATACCATTTTTATTCCAAGTAAATGTATCTCTCAATTTTTGTCCTTCAATTTCCATATCTAGTCTAATTGGAACCAACAATTCTGAAAAGTTAGCATTTTCGTGAATGTTTGCGGGATCAGTATCATCATAACTAAAATGAATTATTATTGATTAATAAATATCATATTAACTAATATTAAGTAAAATACTCACCATAATGGAAAAGTCCTGACTTTTTTTTGTATAATCCTGTTACGGTTAATAGGTGTAGCCTGAGGAACAGCATCTAAATGTGAACTGTTTGGCAATGATGGAACCCAAGGAACTGATTTTTTCCCTTTAGATTCTCTATAATCATAAAATAGGTTTTATTTTAACTTTTAAATCATATCTTTCAAGACATATAATAATGTTAACTAATAACTAAAATTTAAATATTAATAAAAAATAGGTTATAGCATATTTATAACATTAAAAATATCCTATTAAGATGCCTATGCAGCGGTATCTTTAATTTCTAAAAAGAGGGGGAGGGAAAGTTTTAATCAAAACATGCAACTTTAAAAGCCTGTTCATTTTGCTCACAAATATTTAACTAATTTCATTTTTTATCTCAATACTTCAGTTTCTATTTTGCATAATTTGACTAATTAGATTTAAAATGATGGCTTGGACACATAAAACGCGGTCTACTGTAGCAGTCGGCTATGCATATCGTGATCTTGAGAGAACCCTTTAGGTCAAACGTACTAATTCAAATGTATACTTAACCCTAGGTTACACGCATTCAATTTTATCACATGGTCATTTTGACTGGGTATAAAATATCTCTACTTAAATTCAATAACTACAAAATTTAACATTATTTTGTTAATGTTATACTTTTTATTTAAATAGTAAATCCACATGTTTATGATTTTATGAAAAAAAGGAATAATAAAAAATGAATTTAATTATAACTTTTTCAGATTTTTTAATTGCTTAATAATTATTCTGCGTTATATTTTTGATTTTTTTTTTTTAAATAAATACTAACTTGATAACATATCAATATATTTTGTCAACTAAAAATAATAACACCATTACATTATTCCCATTTTATGATAGTGATTGAAAATATTAAATTCAAAAAATTATGTCTAAAAGTATCTAATAAAAGAAGATTCAACAAATTGTTGAGTAATATATAAAAATAAACTTAATCTGGTACTTATTACTACCTTGTAATTAATGGTTCAGTTGAAGTTACAGACACAGCTTTGTAACGTTCATCATTACCATCAATAATATCTTCAACTTCAGATGCTCTTAAAAGTGATACACTGGAAGCCAGGCAATGAGCACTCAAACCTGCAAAAGTAATATGTAATTATATTATTGTAATTTATAAATAATGTATTATATATTTAAGTGATAAGGAATATTATAGAAAACAAAGTTCAATAACACAAATTATGTCATTTTGTTTCAATTGATTGTGGAAAGTTAAAGAAACAAATTTATTAATCAATATCAAAATCTAAGCATACTATCTTAATAATGTGATATAGATGAATAAAATAAAATTTTTGTGTTCCCGCACATGATTAAAAATTACATACAATAATATTTGAACGTAGTATCTAATTCCCTCGTTTGATTGTTTTTAGTTATTCCCCGTCAGTTCTTACTTGGGTATTAAAAGATTAAAAAAAAATATTGATTATGTTGGGTGAGAAGAGTGAAATGCGATAATATAATCACGTAAAATATGACTACTTACCCAAATCAATTAAGCGTTTCCTCTCGTCATTTGTAATGGTTCTGCGAAACATTCCCGGATACCGTTTGTACAGTGAACCGCGGAACAGCCGCAAGTAATTGCCGACCTGAGAAGCGACAATAGACGAAATAAATTATCAAAATCCTAGCGCAAACTCGCGGTTTTAAACGGTCTAATCGTAGTTTTACCTCGGATCCAATGCAGTAGTATTCGCCATTCTCTTCCACTTGAAAACTGATCGGCTTGTCGCCGTACGTCCGGAGAGCCATTTCTGGTCGGGCCGCGGTCAAACGTCGAATATATAAATGTCCGTTGTCTCGTAAATTCTCGGCTCAAACGAACGACATACAAAGAACACACTAAAATAAGTAGTAGCAGTCCAACAATCCTTCGAAAATTCAGAACGTTAGTGTTTGACGTTTCGAAGCCGGTCCGGGTTGTTTAGACTTTAGTTGTTTAACCCTTTAAGGCCCAATGATTACTTTAAGAATCATGTAATATATATATTTTTATTATTTTTTCAACATTATCAAGCTTTTATGTTTATAATCAAAATGATGGGAAATTATATGTTCTTTCTAGTGGTAGTACTGTTTATTGTCATGGTGATTGTTATCATAATGATATTATACATTTTCTAACAGTTATTTGAGATTACTAACACTCACAACATATATGCATTTTTGAACACGACTTATGGTAAGTTCACTTACGTTATTGAATTTAAAAAAAATACTGTACGATAGGCAATTACCTAATAAACATAAATATTATACATTTCAAACAATTGTTAAAGTTTTTGTACTCTAAAAAGTAATGTAAATATGATGACTCCTAAAATTATCATTGGGCAGTAATGTGTTAATAATAATATAATACTATTACTCCATCAATGCCCAATGATAATTTTAGTCGTCATGTAAATTTATTTTGTTGTTAATTTATTATTATATATTTTTACTTAGTTTATTTAAAAAAATGCCATTTAAATTAAAAGAGGAAGAGATTGCTGGTATTTTAAATGGTGATACTTCAGATATTGAAGAATTTTATGAGGATGATATTAATTTAGACAATTTAGATGAATTATTGATGAATGTAAATGAT